CCCCTGAATAAATGCCACCTTAATTTCACTGTCTCTGCGGACCCTCTTGAGGGTTCTAATTCGTTCTTATTTGGGCCCCTCACGTTTCTGTCTGACCAAGCGCTTTGGGGCGGCTTTTCGCAGCGGTGTCTGTTTGTGTCTCGTGTCCTTGGAAGGGAGGTTCTAGTGCTTTACGATAGGTGCAATTCGGTTTGACAGCTTTTGGTAGACTGTCAGAGAAGAAAGGGGATCTTTTTTATTACCCCAAGACCCCCCACTGTTTCCCTCCCAAATTTCGGCTTTGAAAATTGAAGTGTCGATTAGTGTGTGGAGGGAGTTGTTGACTTCATTTTTTTGGGTACTAGTAAAGCCATTTAAGTATCTTCCGGAAGAGAGAGATCTATTGACCTTTGCATTGGTTCTGTTTGGACCTGTTGGGTACATAAAATGCCAGTTTTCTGAAAATTTTTGTCTAATTTAGAATGTATGGTACGTTTATTTAACTCTTTTGAGAATGCTTGAAATGAAAACATTTTGTGAAAGGCGAGGATTCTATTACATGGATTGTTCTCTTCAGATTTTAAATTTTAAATTCCTATCTTTAACCCTGCGCATTAAAATAGCATTGAAGAGGCATAATATTAAAGTTCAGATGAGCTTTAGAAAGGGATGCGCATTTTAAAAAAATAATAGGTGAAATATTACTATTAGTCTTTGTTGTTGTCGTTAAATGTTGAGATCTACTTGAGAGCCTCCCATAATTTTTCTGGTAGATAGCCATGAGAAGTGGGTAATTTCTCCACTTTGAACATTTGCAGTACAACATTCCAGTTTTAATTATTTGGATATTGAAGATAATTGTCTACTTTAAGACAGGCATTTAACCTAAGCAGCACTTGAAAACATGTTTTAGTATTCTTGTTCTCTTTTAGAAATTGTGATTTTGTGAAAATTTAATCATATATTATTTCTTTTGGAAACTCTATAATCAAAAGACTTATTACCCAAAAGTAGATCCCCTCTCTCCAACTTTATTTTATAAACATGTACTAATTTTTACTTTTAAAAAGCAAAGCTGGATTAGGTTATTTCAGAATTACCCATAGTTCAGGCTGAGGGAAATTGAGGCTCTTTTTCTTTTTGTTTTGCCTAATGTCTGTTTTACCTGCAAACAATTTTTTGTTGGTAAGAGTTTGTTAAAGACAGGTGATGGGATTAAAAATAAAGCAATCTATTCTCTTCAAAAGAGCCTAAAAGCACAACAAATCTAGAGGCATTTATCATTTAAATATAAGCATACTTTGAAAAAGGGAATCTTTAATAATTTTTTCATTAACACATATTTTGTTGCATATTAGTATCATATATTTCGTTTTCCTTTCTATTTCCTACATTGTATTGAAATTATTAATTTAATTTTATAACTATTTATTTTAAAATTACATATTTAAACAGCTAGACACTAAAACTGGCTTTTAATTTACTAACCTAGTATGTTGTTTAGATAGTTAACAAATAGAAGTCATTTTAAATCCACAAATTTTCTAATGGATTTTCAATGTTAGGATACAAATATGACTTTGAAATTCTACTTAAGGTTCAAACTTTTTGTTTTAAGACTTCCTCTGAGTCACTATTAATCTTTTCAAATTACCTTTTTAAGGCTACTATATTCTATAACCTGAGGAAAGCTACCTTTCACCACTCTCCCAATCTGACCAAAAGTCCAGATTTATAGGCTTATCCTAAAATTAACTCTCTTGTTTGAGCAGTGAAAAAATGTACTGAATATCAAATTTTTCATTGAATTGTTTTGGAAAAGACTTTATTCTCGTTTGCTTTTTAGATACATTTAAAAAGTAGGTGAGAAGATGGTTTATAAGAGCGGAAATTTTATACATGTAGAATAAATAGCATAAAATAAGTAAGTACATATTTATGTGGAGAGATCAAGGTTTCAGTTGTTTGATTATTTGAGCTTAATATTCCCAGTTTAATCGTGCAAATGATATTTAATTTATGTTTTGTCTAGAAACGTCATCACTTCTGTACTGGGGAACTAAGAACTCTGTTCCTGGCTATGCCTTTTTCAGAAAATCAGAACATCCAAATTAAAATTTCTTCAGAACCCCTAAGCATAATCGTTTGGGACAGGGCAAGAAATTTAGACTCCAAAGGTGGTCCAAGAAGGCGGATGGCTAAAAGCCCTAATTTTCTGCCCTGGGGAAGTGATCGTTAGCACCGAAGAAGTCTGGGGCGGCTGGCGGCTGCCGCGTGCCCCCCGCATCGCAATCCTACTGGCCTTGTCGCTGCCTTGCGCTCTTCTGAGCGGGCAAGAGCTGGGTGTAGCGCAAGATAAAAACCCTTGAGGAAGAGCAGCGACTCTTCTAGCTCGGACTTCACCAGATCTTACCCTCAGCTTACAAGTGGTACCAGAATGCCCCTGCTCCGCTGGGTTCTGTAAGGAGACCCTGCCACTCAGCCTTTGCGTCCCTGTTTGGGGCTGGGGTCTATCCAGGGTCCTGATCGCTACTGTGGGATGCTGGAGAAGCCTCCGCTGCGCTCTAAACGTTTTTCTGTGTGGCTCAAAGTGCGCTTACAGTTCCTACGTCCCCTTCTCCCTTCCCGACAGGGGAGAGAGTGCAGGAAAATCAGGACTGAAAGGGGACCGTGTGGTACTGGAGGATGCACCCCCAAAATAAGGGGAAGTTCTTTATGGTGCCCAAAGCCTGGATTTCTACCTCTTACTGGGCTTCCTCACTAGGAAGTCATTTTGAGGACCACTGGACAGGTGGGTCATTCTAGAGCTGGCTCACAAGATTACCTCAGTTTGCTCTTTGGTAGCCAGGGAGCTTTTTGCCCTGTTATCTCTTGAATAGGAGTAGCAAACGTCAGCCTAGAGCTGAAGTAACTAATGCTGGGTAGAATGGGGCCCTTGCTAAGCGAAAAAGAAAGCTGGGAATACTTAGCAGGCAGGTTTGTCCAGGATGTGAAGGGAAATATTAGGGCTTTGAAGGCTCAGATATTGACCAGGCTTATGCCTAGGACTGGTCTGGGTTTCTTGATCATTAGTACTATTTTACCCCCTCTCTTTTCCTGGAAGCTTAGGCAACCATGTACTCCGCTGTTTCCAGGGCTAACAGTGAGGGAGAAAGGTCTCCTTACTTGCGGGGAGGGGGGATGCAGTAAGTTAAATAGGGGTGGAACCCATAGATGGGATAGGCATACTCTTCTCAGCATGGAGGCAGCCATCCGTGCTTGAAAAAATGGGTATTAGGGCTGCGAGGTCCCTACAGAAAGCGATGGGTAGACGGTAGGGACCTTGGCAGGGGGTCCTCTGGAGCTAGGCCTTAGCTTTCCCACAGCTGTTAGGACTGCAGACTGCAGTGAGGTAGTTATGAGCATTCGCTATATATTTTGGAAAAGGAATATAGGCCTTAGATTATGCCTCAAATCTAGGAAGAGAAAAATCAATGATTTCTGAGACCAGAGACAACCCCTTTAGCTGTCACTGTCTAAAGATTCATTAGTTAACTGATGATCGGCAACCTAGCTGTCTGCCTTAAAAAAAAAAAACAGCAATTATTTAATGTTTTATTTTTTGAGAGGTGGGGGCTCTCCTCGACACTCGGGAGCTCCTGGGAGGGGCAAAATGATGAGTGAACCTGTGTTAATGAATCCCGTAAGGAACTGCGTTTCCCAGGAAATTCCTGGCATTTTTAGCTCGTGAATATCCTAAAGCCTGCTTGATTTTCTCCTCCATTCTGGGTCCTTTCAGAGAGGAAGGAGAGTGGGCTAGGGGCTGAAGGCTCGACAGGGCCTGGTTCATCTGCAGAGCTGGCCGGGAACCTAGACTGGGCTCAGCCCTAAGCAGCGTTGCCCCCCTTCCCCAAATCTCGGAAGGAGGAGGGGGAGGTAGGCAGGCAGTCTTGGTCCCAAAGGGGGCTGGTGGGAGGTTTTTGGGTGAGTGTGGGGTTTCTTTTTGATTGTTGTTTGGGGGGAAGGGCATAGCGAGCTGGAACAGGCATTGCGGGCACCCCGGCCCTGGTGCGGCCGCTGTCCTCTGCTCAGCTCCCCCCCGCCGGTGAGTGCGCCCGCCCGACTGTGCGGGGCTGCGGTTGGGGGGAGGGGGGAGCGGGATCATCTGAGGCCAGAGCCGCTGCGCTGGGAGGGGGAGCGGCGGGAGCGAGGGGAGGGACCGGCTAGGTGTCTGCTGCTCCGCGCCACTGCTGCCGGCGCCCCGACCTCATCCCGGCAGCCCCTTCTGCAGCTAAGGGTTATCGCTGCACCACCTCTCCTCTTCCTCACCCGCCTCTGCGGCCAGGGCTCTGCGGTAGGAGACAGCCCGGCCTGGCGGCATGCGGGCCGTTCTGGGTTTGGGTCTGGGTCTTGTTGGGGCCTGCAGGGGAGGGGTGGCCGTGACTTGGTGTCCCTCTCTGCAGCGGGCTCTGCTGCGCTGCGCAGGCCCCTGCCCCCACATCCCTTTGGGGTCACTGGAAAGCAGAGCTCAGGCCCGCTCCCTATGCTTAGTAAGGCAGCTCTCTCCTCACCCCTAGTCCCCCAACTCCCCAGGCCAAGGCCGCCCGGGGTCTGGCCAACAGCGACAGCCACAGTGGTGGCGGCGGCGGCAGCTGCGACGCGGCGCGTCCTGCCCCCCCACCTCCCAGCCAGGGGTGTGGGGTGAGGGCCCGGGGTGGGCGCCGCCTGGCGGGCGGGCGCGCGGGCGGCGGGCGGCGGGCAGACGGGGGCTGGCAGTGGGGAGGGGGCGCGGGTCACGTGCCCGGCGGGCGGGTGGGCGCGTACAGTAGGGCGCCTGCTACTGTACTGGGGAGTCAGTGCCCTGTTACCGGGTCTCGTCTGTCTCGTCTCTCCCGCAGATCTCGCGAGAGTGGCTGACTGGCTGTGGGGGTTGCGGCGGCAGCAGGCGGAGCCGGGGAGGGAAAGCAGCGGCGGCTGAGGCGACTGAGGCGGCAGCGGGCGGAGCGGCAGCCGGCGGCGGCGAGGCGGCGGAGCGCAGCATCATGGCGGACCGAGACAGCGGCAGCGAGCAGGGTGGTGCGGCGCTGGGCTCGGGCGGCTCCCTGGGGCACCCGGGCTCCGGCTCGGGCTCCGGCGGGGGCGGTGGTGGCGGCGGGGGCGGCGGCGGCAGTGGCGGCGGCGGGGCCCCGGGGGGGCTGCAGCATGAGACGCAGGAGCTGGCCTCCAAGCGGGTGGACATCCAAAACAAGCGCTTCTACCTGGACGTGAAGCAGAACGCCAAGGGCCGCTTCCTGAAGATCGCCGAGGTGGGTGCGGGCGGCAACAAGAGCCGCCTCACTCTCTCCATGTCCGTGGCCGTGGAGTTCCGCGACTACCTGGGGGACTTCATCGAGCACTACGCGCAGCTGGGCCCCAGCCAGCCGCCCGACCTGGCCCAGGCGCAGGACGAGCCGCGCCGGGCGCTCAAGAGCGAGTTCCTGGTGCGCGAGAACCGCAAGTACTACATGGATCTCAAGGAGAACCAGCGCGGCCGCTTCCTGCGCATCCGCCAGACGGTCAATCGGGGGCCCGGCCTGGGCTCCACGCAGGGCCAGACCATTGCGCTGCCCGCTCAAGGGCTCATCGAGTTCCGCGACGCTCTGGCCAAGCTCATCGACGACTACGGAGTGGAGGAGGAGCCGGCAGAGCTGCCCGAGGGCACCTCCTTGACTGTGGACAACAAGCGCTTCTTCTTCGATGTGGGCTCCAACAAGTACGGGGTGTTTATGCGAGTGAGCGAGGTGAAACCCACCTACCGCAACTCCATCACCGTGCCCTATAAGGTGTGGGCCAAGTTCGGACACACCTTCTGCAAATACTCGGAGGAGATGAAGAAGATTCAAGAGAAGCAGAGGGAGAAGCGAGCTGCCTGTGAGCAACTCCACCAGCAGCAGCAGCAGCAGCAGGAGGAAACCGCCGCTGCCACCCTGCTACTGCAGGGTGAGGAAGAAGGGGAAGAAGATTGATCAAACTGAATGAAAAAAAACCTACACACATGCATACACACACACATACACACACACACACACACACACACACACACAACTACACACAGAGAAAATATACTGTAAAGAAAGAGAGAAAATAAAAAGTAAAAAAGTAAAAAAAAAAAACACAAAAAAAAACTTAACTCCAAGGGAGCACCACCCACAGAACCTCCACCAACTGACAGTTTCTCTTCTTGACTTGCCACCCATCGCTGGATGTTGTCCACTTTATCCACCATATAAAACAGTAAGCAGCTGCTAAAAAAAATTACAAAAAGTAATAACATTATATGAACTGTGTTTCCTACTTGATTAAAAAATATAAAGAACTGAGTGTTTATTTCCCTAATTAACCAAGAACTTTTGTACACGTTTAAGCTATTATTATTAAAAGTGTTTGCAAAATGGTCAAGATTATAATATTGCTGAATTATATAAAAGTCCTTTTCATGTTGAGCTAACATTTGACTTTAGCACAAAAAAGAGATATTTTAGAACACGTAAAATAATATTTTTAGTTTTTCTCATTTTGTTACCAAATTTCAAACCTTACATGGAGGTTATTATAGTATATTTGACACCCTATATACCTGTGATTATAGAGATGTGTATATATATGAGGGCTAGGCATGCTGTGTGTCTGAGCTTTGTCTAAATGTTATGCAGAAGTTTGTAGAGTTAAAGGTACGTAGGTTTAATTCATGCAAGGTAAACAATAAGTGCTCTCTTTTATACAATATGCATTGCATCTGGACCTTAAACATATAAAAATGGTCAGTGAAACTTCTGTGAACATTAAGAAATTATTAAAAAAGGCATTTAAATGAAATTTTCTAAGTTGTGATTTTTACGGTTGGAACCAAAGTTATTCCAATAGTAAAAGGAAATAGAGAAAGAGAGAAAAAGGAAATCTCCCATAATATTTTTCTGCATCTGTTTGCTTTGAGTAGTTGTTTTGTCATTGTGTATATGAGATATACTTGTATTGTTCATAATATATTTTTTTTATTATGTGTAGAAAGATTTTAAAAACTAACGTGCAGCAATTTCCAGTGAACCTGTACTTGGACATCAGGTAGTAAGTCTATTTGTGGTCACTAGCACTGTCTCCTAAACTTGTAAGAGATCTGAAGCTATCCTTTGGTTTTTGCCAGTGCTATTAACTTATGTAGACCTGTTAAAAAGCAGAGCAACACAATTATAGTTATCCTACTGAGCCATGGATTCTGAGTTTTATTTTAAAAGAGAAAGCTAAGTTAAGTTGGTGTATGTAAAGGATTTCCATGTAGCTGTGGTGCTAGTTATTACTGGCTACATTATATGCTAAGTATTTGTGTTCCCCAAGTGTACAAGCCTATCAAAAGTATGTCCTATAATTCATATATTCAAGGTGTAGCATATGAAAATCGAAAGCTTAGGAGAGCACTTTACCAAGCTGGTGTCCTCCAAACTGAAATTGTTTGTAACGATAGTCTTTTACAGGTTTTCATTTAAAGATGTTTGTGTGCTTTTAATTGACAACTAACTTCTTGCTGCTGTATAGTAAAATATTAATATATTTTTATCATTAAACTGCTGCATGACTATCATCTTTGAGTGAAGATAAAATGTTATAAAAAAAAAAGATGCCTTAAACAGTACATTTTGGTTTGGAATTCTGTAGAAAGCATTTTGTGTTTTTGTGTTTGTTTTTTTTTTAAAAAGGACCTTGTCTGACAGAGTTCTGGGGATAGAATTGTTTCTTGGCAAATCCAGACATATAGATCTAACTGCTGTAAGTAGGAGACATCACCTGTAGGAGCTGGAAGGTGTCGGTGCTTCTCATATTATAAAGCATTGGCCTAGGAAGGTGAAACAGTTGTCTTTTTGAAGGATTTTTTTTTTTTCTGCTGGTTCTTTGGATTTGATTTGATATTTTTAAGCTCCCTGGTTGAGTGTGTTATCTGTTTTTGAGATCTACTGTATGTGTTGAATAACAAGCTATTTCCATTGTACTGTGCATTTTCCCATTAAATAGTTTGCTTTTACTATTCATACAATGTTAAATATGAAGTGACCGTACAATAGTTAGGAATTTCTTTACTTACAAAATCACTGGAAATAGTTAAATTGCTTTTCCCCTCTCCCCAAGGTGCATTTTCTTATTTCCACATAGTAAAGTTGAGCTTTTATAGTGCATAATGTGACATTTGGAATGCTTATCCAACTGCATGTAAACATTAACCTGCACTTTTTTGTCTTAAGGTTTGTTGAGCTGTTTTGTTCACTGTACTTTAACTGTGATATGGAAAAGACTGCATTATCTGTGCTGTTACTAGTTAGGAAAGAGAATTGCTTTGATTTTGTCTCTTGTTTACTATAGCTTCTTAAAGTTAATCCTTGTACTACAGGTTGTTGGAGTACTCCTAGATCAGTGTTTTATAGTAGCCAGCAATAAGTAGTGCAGGTCACCAAAAACACAGCAAACTTAGGCTAAGTGTCCTTTCATTTGAGATGCGAGTTCTTTCATGAGGTTTTCTTTAGGGTCTGAGTTACCTAAAGTGAAGCCTTTCTTACCTATAGACTTCAGATTCTGCTTGGAATCCTACTGGATCAAGAAGCACAGCTGTGCAGTTGTCTTTACACTATAACAGTTAAACACAATCTTACCAAGATTTTGAAACCATTGTCTGATTTATAGTCAGTGGGTTTAAAAAGAAATCCACATGCAGATCTTGTAAGACTTAAGAGATGATGATAGAAAAGACAAAGTGACTGTAAAGATGCTCTTATTTTGCATCTCACTTTACTCCACAAGCACCCTTCCAAATCCTCCCTTCTACTCTCTCCTGTTCCATCCATTTCCCATCCCTCCCAGGTGCTCGGTACTTTACCAAGGTCTACATCTCAGTGTTTTATGTTGGAGTTTTTCCTTGTTTTTATTATACTAATTGATAAACCTTGTTTGTGCTGAAACAAAAAAGGAAATGGTTGGTATATTTGACCATATGTGTTATTCATAGAAGACAGTATGATCAAATGTGCCAAAAATAAGCAAACAAAACTTAATTCCTGTCAATTATGCCTTATTTTTTTATGATCTGCTTTGTCTTATAATTAAGGTCCAAGAGCTTGGTTAAATTATTATTTGCCTAAGTATACAAGAAAACTTGAAATGCATTGCAATATTGATATTCTTTAAAATGAGAGACACTGTCAAGTAATTTAATCTAGAGATCAGCCACCAGATTTGGAATGCCCATATATATGTATGTGTGTTTGGTGTTTATTTGTTTGTTTTCTTTTAAATCATCAAATCTTTTTTTTTAAGCTACTTTTTATTTGTGCCTCTTCTATTTGTCATGCTGATGTTAGAAGCAGCAGTCATCCAGCCACAGAGGGAGCTAAAGTTAAGTAACCAGAACTGTAGAAATCATTATACATGCCTTTGATAACAAAGGAAGTTTATGAGAAAAGTCATGTCGGCTTTTCCTCCACTAGATACAGATTGGAGATAGATGAATATTTGCCAAATGGAAAAAACAACAATGCGAGTTAGGAAAGACAGACTTTTCCAGCTTCTTAAAAGCCATGGAGAAAGAAACCAAAACCAACAGGGAAAAAAAAAAAAACCTTGAAAGTCTCACTTTCTAGTCCCATGCAGGGGTTGAAATTTGACTCAAAGTGGAAAATATATCAGTATGTTTTTTAGGTCTTCACATCTGGAGATGGATAACTATTCCAATTTGATTTTTCAGATAATGGAGAAAGCTGCTAGTAATTTTAATCCCTGCCTAAAGAAAACATAATTTCATTTGGGAGCAAATGCTTATTGCCTTGAAAATAGCACTGTAATAGTCTATGATAATTAGTTGTAGAATAACCTTTATCCCTTTGAAGCTATGCAAATTATTAAACAAGTGTAAATTAGGACTCACTTAAAGATAGTTGATTATATTGCAATCAGATGGCACTCACAAACTTAACTGGAGGATATACAAATAAATCTATTAGTTTAAGAGTGTTGTATGCTAACAAAAATATAATTTAGCTAATACTCTAAAAATGGTGAATATTATTAATATTGTATAATAGGACTGGGAAGACTGCCTCCTTTTTTGAAGAGAGAGAGATATTAAGGATTTTTATAATTGTTTTTCATCAAATTTTAATATTTTTGTCAAAATTTTAGGTATTTAATTTGTAAAAGAGTTTGCTTTGTATTGGCATACAGAAAATAGGGTATTGATTTTAAACTTTTTGAAGCCAAGTGATCAAGTACATTTGTAATAAAAATCAATGGATCTATATCAGTTGTACTCACTGTTTTCATTTCTTAATATAGGAATGCTGTACTTTTCCTGCAGGAAAACTGAACTAAATTTGGGTGCAAGGGAGAGGGAAAAATAAGTACATTGATAATGAGAATTTGGGTGGGTATTACTGGCCCAAGCATTTTACATAATCTTTAAGTCAGTTAAGATTTGGTATATTAAAAAAGATGCTCATGTCAATTTTTTGTTCCTTTTTTTTTTTCTAATGGAAATTGATGTTTGTGGGGGTTATCTCATTTACTATTTCTGTGCTTTAACATTTCGCATTTATCACTGTTGAAACTTTCTAAACATATTTTTCTTTCATGACATTTTGAGATATCTACCAACCATTGGTGACCGGATCATGGGCATGATTATTTTTATCTCCCTCAAATGTTCACCCTCTCTTCATCATATTCCCACTCATTTTTAAATATTACTTACACACACTCCGGATGATTTTAAAATGGGGATTTCTGAAATTGTTGCTCTGGTGGCTTTCATCACTCCACAATTCATTTTATTATACATGTGAACATATTTTTAAGATTGCTAAACAGATTTTTTAATATCCCTAAAACATGAGATATCAAATCTAATGGCTTTTTCTCCATATCAGAGTCTTTTCAATATCAGAATGAGATCCTGCTTTCTCAGTAAAAGGATGCTAAAGCCAGGAGATCT